TCCAGCACTAGCCTCAAACTGAGAAGCCCCAGCCTGAAGGGCGTCTGTGTGAAGGAAAGAATAAATGCATATGTATATAAGCACATATATAAAAGGTATTTAAAATAAGATAAAGATAATGAAATAATTAAATTTGAAAAAAAAGATATTTATAAAGTAAAATAATTATTATAGTGTAATGCTGAAACTTATTCTATTACCTGCTCGGTCATCTAGTTGAGAGAGTTTTTGATCTCTTTCAAGTACCTTTTCCACATTAGTCCTCATTACATCCACAACCTAAGAAACAAAGAAATTAGTTATCGTCTGCTACTTCGTCAACTTGTGCTTGCATTTGTTGAAGACGTTTATTAGCAACATTTGCACTAGGTTGAATAACTCTAAAAAGTTAGTTTAAAAGAGTTACGGATGAGCAACAGCTTCATCATCTTTCGAGTATGTAGACCTATAATAAAAAAATTAAATTTTATTTACATTTAGTCTGTAGAAAATATAAGCTAAAAGTTTGTTACATGCGATACGAAGAATTAAAGTACAATCAAAACGATGGGTTTAGTAGTCATTACAATGTATAGTTTAGTAAAACTTAACAAATTTATTTCAAAAGTTTTAAATAAGGCTTAATAAGAATATTAATGAGTACAATATTAATTCTTAATATGCTTATATGTTTATTAAATTTATTATTATTTAAATAATCTTTAATTCTATAAAGTAATTTATTAATTAAATCAATTATCCATTTTGATTTAAACTTATATTATTTGGTTATAACTTTGATTTTAATTAGATTTTATTCAATATGTTATATCCATTTTTTAATTTTATTGCAGTTTTGGTGACCATGCCTCATTAATAACTGAAATTGTTAAGATATCTTTTATTTTTATATTGTTTTACTTCCTGATTCTCACCAATTTCGCTGCAGCTATCTTTGAATGTTAATCTATTCGATAATTGGTTGTTTATTATTTACTTATTAACCACCCATTTAGAAAATGGAATGGTAATCAGTGTGATCAGTTAGCCTCACGAATTTGTTAAAATTTAAGTATAGACCGTTAAAGATAAATTTAAACATGAATTGCTTTCATAATTTTTGCTAATCGATTATACACAATGTAACAGATCTTCTTCTCTATAACCTTTAATGCTGATGACAATGATCTTATGAATTCAAGCAGACACTATGAAGTCGGCTAATGTATAATTCTTTAAAGAAATTAACAATTTTTGAAATGTCCTATTTTGGCTTGTTTGTATAATAAGGTTGTGTTTTTTTAACAGTGATCAGTAACGATTTCGACATTCTCTGAATTTATACTTTGGCATATTTCATGTATCCTGTTATCCTAACATATTTGCATCGCACCATTACTGGCTTATATACTGTGAGCATTACCCAACTAATTTCTCAAGCAAATTGGCATAATTAATCATAATAATAGATTATCAGGAATCAGATTAAGCCATATAACAATAATAAAAGCAGACAAATATATATATTTCGGAATTTATGAGACAAAACTTTTAACTAAATTAGTCTTTATGCAAAATAATATTAAGGCATCAATTTTAATGATATGTTTGTCAGCTAAAAATCATTTTGCTCACACATAACTTCTCGCATTATATACAGTTCCAAATTATCAATTGACTATACCTTCATCGGGCTTATAGTAATCTTAAAAATTGTCTACTATCGATTTGCAATCGATTTCCTCATTTCATCTGCATCATTGAAAAACGATTAGCTATACACGAACAAGGACTCAGGATCAAAATTCGTGAAAATTAAGTCAGCCATAATATCGTTGCTAGCACAGCTACTATACCGGTATTTGGTATTAAATAAATTAATTTTCTGAAAAGGTTTCGAAAAGGGCTGCTTCTTTATATGTGCCCTAATGCAAAATTCGAGCTATTTAGCATGGCAACACCACCTCAAATAAAAGCTTGATTTTTCGGTTACCAAAATCTTATGCTCTCCTTCGTCACAAATTATTCTGCTAATAAAAATTATTTTGTCATATGACTACATACATATGATAGCTTTTTTTGTATAAAGTGTTATTACTATTATCTACGTTCCATCATACCTCGTCATTCAAGTATTCTACTATAAATTACATTTATAGGTATATTTTGATTAATATATCAGATTGTGCCAACTGCCAGGCTTTATTACATGAAGTGCTATTCTATATAGTATGAACTATAAAATACTTTATCTAAAAGAATGGAAAATTTCACAAAATTTTATGACAAAAAATTTTGATTTGTAAAAAATATAAGATAACCGCTAATATCAGCGCCTAAACTATAGAAAAAAAAGTTTATGAATAATTTTTAATAAAAAAATATTTTAAAAACAAATGACTTTGGCAAGGAACCGTTGACTATCTAGTTCTAAATACATTTCTTTTTATAGTGAAACCAAGGAAGACGATAAGGCCAAAAAAGCTTTATAAAATTAGCCGTATAAATGGATCCTATCATCAAAAGAAATTTTTTAAATTATATCTCAATCCATCAAACCATATTCTTATCAAGAGGTGATGTTTGTCAAGGATAACTGCCTTTATTGAATCGCATAAATTTACTGTTACTACCAGACTGAACTAATAACGTAATGCGATTTTAAATTTACAATAATGTTTTATACAGGTCCTGTAAGCCAGTAATACGTAGTCCATATAAACTAATATATAGTAATATATGATGAAAATTTTTCATATCGGATTTGTGAACCTCAAATGTAAGTTAGTTTACTAATCCTTTATCTGCCTACACAAATAAATAAATATAGTGTAATTATTAACTTTAAAATTAGTTAAACTTAGCATAAGACAAATATACTTTTTTAATTGTTATTGTATCGGCGCGTATGTCACTTTCCGCGATGACTGTGTGCCTTCGATCGAACCCTGTTTGTAGCGATTGCTCTTCTCAAGATGTATGCTTTTACGATAAAACGTTTTGCGTTATTTTGTGTATGCAGTGTGGAAGTAAATAAATATTTATTTGACTTTAAGATGCACACAGACACTTTAATCTAGATATAGAATTATTTAACTGGACAACTAATATAATAAAAACGACAGATTATGCAGAGGATATAGCATCAAAAGTTGAAGCATCAAATAGATTATTAGAGGAAGAACTTCCTCCTTTTTATAGAAAACCGTGGTCCCTTAATTGTCCGATGTTTTACAGGACTTCATTTGTAAATCACAAATACATTTTGTATACGTTTGCAAAAGGAAATTCGAACCTTAGATCAAATTTTACATGCTTCACAAAAGTTGGATATTTGAGCAAAAAACTGCGGGATTCTATGTTGTTTGTTCCAAGATATTTTGAATTATCTGTTAAAGAGAATGTTTTACGTTATTTTGTTTCAGAACCATATAAGTATCCAAAGCAATCGATTAATTTAGAGGAGCTTGACATT